GAATTAGTGTTTCTAGTGATGTTTTCTGGTCCTTTCTATTCTTTGTTGCTTTGTTTTTTTTCTCCAGAGTCCCCCCTTAAAATTTGTTGCAAGGCTGATTTAGTGGTCATGAACTCCTTTAGTTTTTGTTTGTCTGGAAAACTCTTTATCTCTCCTTCTATTCTGAATGACAGCCTTGCTAGATAAAGAATTCTTGGTTGCATATTTTTCCCATTCATTACATTGAATGTTTCCTTCTACTCTTTTCTGGCCTGCCATGTCTCTGTGGAGCAGCTGCTAACCTCATCTACCTTCCCTCGTAGGTTAAGGACCTGTTTTCCTTTGCTGCTTTCAGAATTTTTTCTTTGTGTATTTTGTGAATTTGACTATGATATGCATTGGTGATGGCCAGCTTTTGTTGAATTTAATGGGTGTTCTCTGTGCTTCTTGGATTTTGATGTCTGTGTCTTTCCCCAGATTAGGCAAGTTTTTGGCTATAATTTGTTTGAATAAACCTTCTGCCCTTTTATATCTCTCTTCATCTTCTGGGACTCCTATGATACAAATGTTATTATGCTTTACTAAGTCACTTGTTCCCTAAGTCTACCTTCATGGTCCATTACCTTTCTTTCCTTCTTCTTTTCAGCTTCACTACTTTCCATAATTTTATCTTCTATATCACCCATTTGAACCTCTGCTCTATCCTTGTTTTTATGGCCTCCACTTATGCATCTTGGTTATAGCAGTTTTAATTTCAGCCTGACTAGATTTTGGTTCTTTTATCTCTGTAGTAAGGGATTCTCTAGTTTCTTCTGTGATTTTTTTTTTTTTGAGCCCGGCTAGTATCCTTATAATTGTTTTAAATTCTAGTTCAGACACCTTACTTATATCTGTATTAATTAAATCCCTGGCTGTGAGTTCTGCCTCATGTTCTTTCTTTTGGGATGAATTCCTTTGTCTCATCATTTTGTTGAGAAAAGAAAAGAAGAAAGAAAAAAAACCACCAATAAAAAACAAAAATCAAAGAAAAAGAAAAACACACACACACACACACACAAAAGAAAAACAAGAAAACCAAACCAAACCAAAACAAAACAAACTAGATCCTGGGTATTTTTTTGGTCTGCTTGTTAAAAGAATCTAGATCCTAAAATAAACAATAATAATAATGATAATAATAATGTAAAATATATTAAAATAAAATGAAGGTAAACTATATATAAAAATTAAAAGTAAAAAATAATAAAAAAAGAAATTGGAAAATATAAGAAAATAAGTGAAAAAATAATAATAATTTTAAAACAAAGAATAAAAGTAAAACAAGCTGGATCCTATTTCCCCTAGAGCTGAAACTTTACAGCAGTCTATGATCAATAAACTTGATGTGAACTAGTTATTTGTGTTGGTCTTCTGAGGGAGGGACCAGCAGCGCTGATTCTCAGGCTAACTTGTTTGAGTAGAAATGCATCTCCTGGGCACAAGGAAGGCGGGCCTTGGTGTATGCAGCTTCAGCCTCCAATAGGTGGCGCTATTTTGCCCCCTGAAGGCTTTCAGCACTGTTGGGCAGATGAAAATGGCTGTTCCCTGCTCTCTAGCCTCAGAGCTGAAAGTTGGGACCCCTACACTTCAGTGAGCCTTCACAGAAGAGCAATCAATCATCCTATTTGTGTCCCTGGTTTCCCTCTGAACCCTACATTCACCCTGCCCGTGTCTGAGCCTTTTTATCTCAGGTGCACCTCAGAGCTTCCAAAATCTAAATTTCAGGGACTCCCACGACAGGGACACATGCTGTTTCTGTGCCGAGGTTTTCACTAGGCTTGCTAGCCCATCCCAGGAAAGTGGTCAGACAACCACCTGGTGGTTTGCAGTTTATAGCAGAAAGCTGGCACCAGGACCTGCTGCTCTCTGCTGGATTCCCATCTCCTAAACCACAGCATCTTGGTGCCATCCATTCTTCCTATGACCCAGGGGATCCTCAGACCACCCTGTCACTCCTGGGATTCTGCCCCTCTTCACCACCTGGGTACCTTTAAGCCACGCAAGGCCCCCATGGTAGTGAACCAAATTGTGGAAGAAGACCAAGTATCCATCAAACTGATAAATCGATAAAGAAGTGGTATATATATATATATGTATATGTGTATATATATGTGGGTGTGTGTATATCTATATATCTATGTATATGATGGAATGTTATTCATCCATAAAAAATAACGAAATCTTGCCACTTGCAATGACATGGGTGGACCTAGAGAGTATAATGCTAAGCAAAATAAGTCAGTCAGAGAAAGAAAAATACCATATGATTTCACTCACATGTGGAATTTAAGAAACAAAACAAAGGAGCAAAGTGAAAAAGAAAAGAGAGAGAGAAATCAAGAAACAGACTCTTAATTATGGAGAACAACCTGATGGTTATCAGAGAGGATGGGGGTAGGTAATGGATTAAACAGGTGATGGGGATTAAGGAGTACACTTGTTGTGATGAGCATGGGGTGAGGTATGGAATTGTGAGTCACTATATTGTCCACCTGAAACTAATATTACACTGTTAACTACCTGGAATTAAAATAAAAACTTAAAAAAAATAAATTTAAGCAACTCTATATAAATGATTAAAAGAGGAAAAGAAATATAATTTTCAGTGTCATCAAAAGTGTAAATAAATGCTGTTAAGAGTATAAACTGGAACAATTATTAGAGTGTCAGAGTGACAAGATAATTATGGTTATCTTGAAACTGGAATTATTAAAGTAGAAGATAAAAGAATTAGAAGATAAGTTGTAAACTTAATTGTTTGAGAAGTTTATATTATATCAGCTTATATTGCTGCATAGAGTTTATGTGCAAATATATGTATTTCATTATTTTTGCCATAATATTAAATTGAAAATTGTCAATGTTCATTAGAAAGTTAATTTTGACATGAATTATGGAATTTCTAGATAATGAAGATATTTGTAGTCATTAAAGAATACAATTTTTTGTAACCTGTCTCATATAATGTAAAGAAGAAAAAGGCAAGATATAGAAAAAAATTGTGAGATTTTAAATAATATTAATATGTGTATATGGAGCAGACAATTACTTGACATTTTAATGAGTTGTTAACTGTGCTGAATTAACTCTTGCTTGAGTTTTCCTCTAAACTTTCCCCTCTCTGATTCCCATTGTAATATTTCAGCTTCAGGGATATATGGCTTCAAGTAGGATTGCATGAAAAAGACTCTCTTGCTACATTGTTGAGTGCACAACTTAGTGAAAGTAATTGTGTAATACAGGTGGGAAAAACAATGTCAATGAAGGAAGCCTTGAAAGAGTGACTGGGAGGTTTCCCAAAACCTAACAGATCTTCAGGTGCTTCTTGAAGTGTTGCATCAAAAGTCTTTAATAGGAACACTTGAATGGCTCAGTCAGTTAAGTATAGATTCTTGATTTCAGCTCAGGTCATGGTCTTAGGTCATGAGATCAAGCTCCATGATGAGCTCGGCATGGGGCTCTGAGCTCAGCAGAGTCTGCTTGAGATTCTCTTTCTCCCTCTGCCCTCCCCCCACTCACACTCTCTCTCTGAATAAATAAATGAAATCTTTTTAAAAAAAAGTCTTCGGGGTGCCTGTGTGGCTCAGATGGTTAAGCATCTGCCTTCAGGTCAGGTAATGATCCCAGGGTCCTGGAATCGAGCCCCATGTCAGGCTCCTGGCTCAGCGGGGAGCCTGCTTCTCCCTCTCCCTCTGCCTGCTTCTCCCCCTGCTCATGGTCTCTCTCTGTATCTCTGTGTCTCAAATGAATAAATAAAATCTTTAAAAAAAAGTGAAAATTTAAAAAAGTCTTTAATAATATCTGTGACTTAATCTTTGGAGTCAAGGGGAGAGATGTAACAAAACCTGGGACGATGAGCATCCTAGTACTAACCAATGAGGGCCCAAGACTGGAGCTGCATCCTGAATGCTTTGGGCCACATAGGACCTTAGCATAATTATTACTCAAGGGAAAGAAGGACAGAAGCTCTAGTAAGAACTAAGATAAAACTTCACACTAGCCTGGTTGACTGAGGGCTCAAAGATTCAATTATGAGTTAACATAAACATTTAAATGAGTTAACATAAACATTTAAAGATTAGTTTAGGAACAGAGATTAAGGTCTGCTGTATAAATATATATTATTATAATTACAGATTATATTATATTATGTATTTTATTATATTATTATATATAATTATTGATATTTTATATAAATATATAAAAAAGATAACTGAAAGGACATAGAACAATCTGGTATTAGTTACTTTGGAGGACAAAAAGGAATACTGAAGGGAAAGGAAGGATTATCAATTTATATTTTATATTGTTCTGAATTGTTTGAGTTTGATACAATGAGATAATTTTATTATAATTAAAAATGAAACAGCACCGATGATGATAAAACTTACAGTGGCCAATTCAATGTTCTGTGGACCAACCTCAGTGCATCCCAGCTTTTCACACTGGCCCCTCTCTTCAGGACATTTTTATTCCCTGCTTCACTTAGTCACTGCACATTGATTATTTTCTGGCCTCAATCCTGTGATGACAACTTTTATTCTTTGCAATACCAGTCTATCCTGTCACAACCCCCACAGTCACTTCCTCCAAACAGTGCATTCAAGACTCGACCACTGACATTCCCAGCTGAGGATCTGTCCATCACAGCAGCCAACTGGGATTCTGGTCTCTGCCAGTAATGGTACATTTTGGTAATCATGGTGCCTTCCTTCAAAATGTGTGAGGAGACACATACCAGGAAAATAAATGATCTATTTGTATGGTAGATATTTATGGAAGTCATTGAATTTTAAAGTACAGCACAATATATGTATAAATAGATCAAGAGAATTTCAGGTTATATCCAGTGTCTAGGATATTGACCAGCTCCAAGAATATCTGCCTTTTTGTCTCTGTTCTGCTCATCATCCTCCCCTGAAATCAAATGCAGAACACTTACATTCCCAGAGAGTGATCTATATTCTCACATAATTACTCACCAATCACTTTCAGCTCCAAAGTGGCTTCTTCAAAGTCACTGTCTTTTTTAAAAAAACACTTGTACATTCCATTGTCTGAGATCTGGAGATTGTAGATTCTCACAGCTACTCTTCCCTCCGTGATATAATCTTTCACCAACTCTGCTCTCCCTTTGAAATCTACCAGCTGTTCTTCCGCCTGCTCCATTCCATCCTTATACACATACACAGCCTCTGAGAACTGGGAGCGGAACCACCTCAGCTCCATGCTCTCCACATTCATGGCAGGGGACACATGACAGGGCAGCACTGTGTCTGTGCCCAGCATGGCCACAATTGGCTCTGAGGGGCTGATAACCAAGAATGAATCTGTGGAATAGAGCCACAGGGAAAAGAATATCAGTGACCTGCCTTGGCATTGTGGAACACAGCATCATTACTGGCCCAGTAGAACCCCAGAGACATTCTGTCATTCATACACCAGTTCTCTGCAGCACACATTCAGGCTGAAGATGGCAGTGAACAAGACAAAGAGCATCTCTACCCAATCAACAGGGTAATCTCTTGTTAAACAAATGATTTTTTAATTGCAATGGTGACAAATTCTATAAAGAAGGAGGGAAGAGTGCTGGGAAATCACGAAATCAGAGTTTTTAGTTAGGTCTTGGCCATCAGAAAATGCATTCTTCATGAAGACGAGACCTGAATGAATCAGAAAAAAATTAGTGAAATAATTCCACCTGATTCTTCTCTCTAATCATATAATGACTTATTTGCCCTCATATATGGGCAGATAAATCATTATATCAAAATAAAGGATTTAGAATTAACCCAGGTATATACTGAGTAGTGATGGAGTAATTTAATCCTTCTGTTCAGAGAATAAGAGAATCTAAGAATATAAAATACAAAGTATTGTTACCTGAGCCCCACATGGACACCTGGAGAAGAAGGATAGAGAAAAGGTCTCTTAGCAGAGAAAAGTCCAGGGAACCCACCATCTTTCTCAGAGCAGACAACAGTACGACACGCAGTAAGGTCCTGAAAATAGCTGGAGTAAAGAAAAAAATGGAATCCATAAGGTAAAAATAATCATAGCTAAGGCAGTTCACAGTGATTCTAAGAAATGGCCTCCAGAAGCTCTCCAACAACTGTAGTGTGTCTCTCTCGGGGAACATCAAGGAAGCCTTTAACACTCACAAAAAAGACTTTTTGTTTCCCTTTTCCAAGGAAACAGTCTTCATCTCAACAACCATGTTCCACAGTGTTAAATCTGTCCACAATCTCTCTAAACTCTTCTCTAACTCAAGAACATCTTGTCCAGTGGACAAAGAGACAGAGAGAAGGCGATGGGCAACCACAGAAAGAGATGGCTTTAGCACAAACACTAATTTGGCCTCAATGAATTCCACCCCCTCCCCATATTCCTTTATGATGGAGGAGCATATATAACTTGGCCTGTCCTCTGCCAACCCCTAGGATCCTTGCCCAAATGCTCTTAGTTCCCTCTCTCTCGCCCATCACCCACAAAATGCAAAACTCACATCTTTTAAGTTCTTCTTACAGAAATGAAGTCATCCGGAAACTTCTCAGACTCATGGCCACAGGCACCAGGGGATAAATACTCTCTGCCATTCCTCCCAGTTACCTGCTCTTGGCTGCCCACAGGTCTCTCCTGTGAGACTTTCTCCAAAATGTCAAGAGGATCTCAGACTTTACAAAACATGGGGCCAGGTTTTTTAAGGGGGTTCAGACAATTGAGAGAAAGATGACCCCTGCACAGAATCTCTCAGCAGTACACTTCTCTTTGGCCACACTGACACACTCAAAACTGAAAGTAAAATAAGATAAAGAAAGCAAACTTTGACCTGTCATAAGTTTATCTAATGATTATATACTTACTTACAAAGTATAGAGGGGATCAAAAGCAAGTGATTTCTTTCTTTCTGAGAAGTATATTGTCTAGGTTAGTAGCATAGATATTAGAACTTGATGACCTGAGTTAAAATACTTGTGAGACTACAATTTATGATTTTGAGACAGTTATACAGCCTCTCTGTGCCTCAGTTTCCTCATGCGACAGCATGTTGAATGCTAGTATCTACCCTAAGTTTTGGGTGAAGAGTACATGAATGTATTTAAAGCACTTAGAAGAGTGTCAATAACTTATAAATTATGTGTAGGTTGTTAACAATTTTTATTTTAATATCTTGCTCACTCACCACAATATATCTGCCATTTCGATGATGAAATTTCATCTCCCAGTTGGACCCCTCATTCCATTAGGCAGGAAACTGAGAAGACATGGGCACATTCACACTCTCTGACTCCTCCCAGACAGAAATTTTCTCCACCGACATCTGGATTTTATCCATCTCAACTAGGATAAAAGAAAAACAGTATAAAATTCCCCAAATGATTCTCTGAGACTTTCATCTTCCTTCAATGCTATAAATAATGGAAGTGATAAGGATGAGATTACTGTCCCCTACCTACATAAATCATTTTAGTTTTGAAGATCCTTCAAATTCTATGAGTTCTAGAATAATTGTTTCTTGCTTAGAATCACAGAAAGAAATTCTGAATTGGAGACTGACAAATTTTAAAAACTCTACATTTTTGAAATTCTATATCTAAGATTGAACATCTATATATGGTTTATAAGAGACATAGCAAAACAAGAACTAAACGAATACAAACCAGACATATTCTAACACAATTGTAGATATGGCACTATTAATTTTAAAATAAAAATGACATTCAGAGAGAAATCATTCAAAGAAACAAAATTGCCCTTTCAAATAGATACATTTATTAACAGCATGGACTTTCAAGTATTGCATGGTGCTAATAACATAAAGCTGGATTTAAAAAAGCAAAATCAGGAGGAGCAAGTTGGCGGAGGAGTAGGAGACCTGGATTTCATCTGGTCCCAGGAATTCAGCTGGATAGGGATCAAACTATTCTGAACACCTATGAACTCAACAGGAGATCACAGAAAAGAATAACAACAACTCTCTGAACAGAAAAGTGACCACTTTCTGGAAGGTAGGATGTGCAGAGAAGTAAATCCAAGGCGATATTCGGGGGGAGGGCCTCTGTCAGCCGATACTGGCAAGTGATAGAACCGTGGAGCACAGAATTGGAACTTTTAGAAGTTGGCTCCGCTGAGGGATGTCACTCCAGTGGCTAAACGGGGAGTGGAACCCTTGCTGGGACAGTGTGGTTGCAGGATCCTCAGGGTCACAGAAAGACCGGGGTGCCTGAGTGCAGCAGAGCTCCCAGGTGTCGGAGCAGGGAACCCAGCTGCAGAGATGGAGCCAAGGAGCAGGCTCTCAGCTCGGGTTGCCATAAACCGTGACCCGAGGCACAGTCGGGCCACTGCTCCTCCAGCAGGGACCCAACAAGCAGCAGATCTGGGGAAACTCCCCTTCTTCCCCTGGGAGGAGTGGTGCGGGAGCGCACCACAGGGATCTGCTGGGTTTGGAGACTCCACACGGGGTCATGTGCCAGAGATAGAAACACTCGGTCACATGCCGGGTGAGCACTGAGTGTGGCCAGAGACCGGGGAGATGGAAGTGACTGACTGCTTTTCTCTGGGAGCTCACTGATAGTGGTGGCCCGAGTTCTTGGCTCCTCCAGGGCAGAGATTGGGGGGCCTCCGTTTTCACTCTCATCCTCCAAAGCTGTATGGAAAGCTTGCAGGGAACAAAAGCTCCCGAGAGCAAACCCGAGCAGATTCCTTAGCCCAGCCTGAAAAGGGCGGGCAATTCCGCCTCCGGCAAAGACATTTGGGAACCACGGCAACAGGCCCCTCCCCGAGAAGGTCAGGAAGAACAGCCAGCCAAGACCAAGTTTACCGATCAATGAGAATGGCAGAACTCCAGCGCTAGGGGAATACTGAACATAGAATTCATGGCTTTTCCCCATGATTCTTTAATCTTTCAAAGTTAATTTTTTTAACTCTCCTTTTTTTTTGAATTTTTCTTTTTCCCGTTTTCAATCAACATCTTGTCAATCTTTTTTAAAAAATCGTATTTTTCATTTTTAGAGTCATATTCTATCCCTTCATAGTAGTTAACCTTATTTTTGCTATATATATATAAGTTGTTCTCTCTTTAAAATTTTGAAATACAGTTTCTTCTAACACACCAAAATATACCCTAAATCTCTAGTGTATGGCTTTGTTCTAGTCTCCAGCTTGATCACATTCTCTCCCTTTTTTTTTAAATCCTCTTCTTTCTTTTTTCAACCAACATTTTATCTTACCAATTCTTTTTATAAAATCTTTTATAATCTTCATCTTTACACTCATATTCCATCCCTTCATTATATCAACCCTTATTTTTGTACATATATAAGTTTTTCTTTCTTTAAAATTTTTGGAGGCACTTTCTTCTAACAGACCAAAATACGCCCAAAATCTAGTGTGTGGCACTGATCCATGCACCAGCCTGATCATATTTGATCATATTCTGTTTTTTGTTTTGTTTTGTTTTTGTTTGTTTTTATCTTTTTCTTTTTCTTTTCTTTTTTCTTTCTTTCCCTTGCTTTTCCCTGGTTTCAGGTCTTTTCTGATTTGTTTAGTGTATATTTTCTGGGGAAGTTGTTACCCTGTTAGCATTTTGTTCTCTCATTCATCTATTCTCCTCTGGACAAAATGACAAGACTGAAAAAATCACCTCAACAAAAAGAACAAGAGGCAGTACTGACTGCCAGGGATGTAATCAATACGGACATTACTAAGATGTCAGAAATAGAGTTCAGAATGATGATTTTAAAGATATTAGCTGGGCTTGAAAAAACCATGGAAATTATTATAGAACCCTTTCTGGAGAAATAAAAGAACTAAAATTTAACCACATTGAAATCAAAAAGGCTATTATGAGGTGCAATCAAAAATGGAGGCTCTAACTGCTAGGATAAATGAGGCAGAAGAGAGAATCAGCGATATAGAAGACCAAATGATGGAAAATAAAGGAGCTGAGAAAAAGAGAGATAAACAACTACTGGATCATGAGGGCAGAATTCGAGAGATAAGTGATACTGTAAGATGAAACAACATTCGAATAATTGGGATCCCAGAAGCAGAAGAAAGACAGAGAGGGGCAGAAGGTATATTGGACCAAATCATAGCAGAGAAATTCCCTAATTTGGGGAAGGAAACAGGCATCAAAATCCAGGAGGCACAAGAACCCCTCTCAAAACCAATAAAAATAGGTCAACACCCCGACATCAAATAGTAAAACTTACGAGTCTCAGAGACAAAGAGAAAATCCTGAAAGCAGCTCGGGAGAAGAGATATGTAGCCTACAATGGTAGAAA